TAAATCGGTAGATTTGCCATATTGCCCCAACTTGTCGAAACGTCCGTAGAAATTCATAAAAACAATCATAAAAGAGTCCCGAGATGATTACCTTAGTTAACCAAGTTAAAACCTTGAAGAAACACCAATAATTACAAATTTATATCTTCAAAAACCAGCTCCAAATGCAGCAAATAGAAGGGAAAAATGATTGCCACGTGTAGGGATTACGTTTCTAGGCACGGGGCAATGTTTAATGGTAGAAATCGTCAAAACTAACCTTCATTATGCTAGGACTTCATAGAAACCCTCCCCTAAGTTTTCTCTCTGGTTTTAGAACTGAAATGAACTGTTTTCATGGCTAAAAACGTTAAATAGCCGACATACCATATTTCTTTACCTGACCCGAATCCGACCCGGATTCTGCCCTGGCAGTCCCTAGTAAAACCCTCATAACTTTTTACTTGGATGTTCGTTTGATACGGGGTTTTGTGCGTTGCAAGCTAGACTCGTAGGCCTTCGATTTAATGGGTAATAGGCCTTCTAACTCTTTATATATTGGGAGAAAACATCCAATACATTTGACCCAAATTTCAAAGAAATCTTTAAAAAGGAACTTATGATAACTTTCGCCAACTTTTATTTTGCCACTTACTTAACTTCAAAACTTGAGATAAAACATTTGAACACTTAAAATATGACATACCACATCCTTTTTAATTTATTACTCACCCTCTTTGTCTTTCCACGAAGGTACGAGTTAATTTAGACGTTTTGGAAAAGTCGGGGTGTTACAACTAACTATTGGTGTCCTGTCGAACATAGGTTCAGGCGTTTCAATGGAGTTTTCCTGAGTTCTTTCTTCAGAAAAATGTGTTCTCAATCCTACCCTAATTTCTGCAAGACTTTCAACTATTAACTCCTCGCATGCAGCGAGGATATTAGATTCAGAGGTTTTTCCTTCAGGAAGATCTCCTTTGAACAGAAAATCAGATAAGACAGTGAGAGAAGGACCAGGTTGAGATGACTCTAAAGGGGTATTCAGGTCTAGAGAGAGCTCAAGTATATGGGGGCTTTTGACTACTAGATCTAGGAATGTCAACTGGAAGAATGGTTGACGAAGGGTTACTTGTCGGAGAATAGAAGGCAGCATGGTCAATTTCATTTAAGGCTTCCATCATTTTTCTAGAGGAGGATGGAGAATGAGACATTTTGCAATAGAGAAGAAGAAAAGAGGAGAGTATTTTCTAGGGTTTCAGAAAAGTTAGAAAAGAAAGTTTGAAACAATTTAGGAAGAAAGGCGAGGGAAGGAGTACAAAAGGAAACGAAGAGGTGTGTCAGGTCTCTTTGATTAGATGTGTGGCTTGGGCTTAAAGCGATGGGACAACGGTCTGAAGACGGATGAATGACACGTGGCAGTGCCAACAATTGTCATTATTATTTCAAAAATAATGCACAGAATGTTGACCTTTGAGACAAGATCAGGTCCCTCTCTGCAGTTTGAAGATGATCATCTCAAAATTGTAATGTCCTTCCTTTGTTCCAGCAATTCATTATGAGTGTATACCTTCAAGAAGGTACGAAGTTGGTCCTATCAAAACAAGCATTAAAGTTGTCTAGGATATCTGCCTACTGATCATAGCCAATGAGGGTTTGATGCCTTTGGATGAATTTGGTTCAATCCATCTTCAGCAGTCCCAGCCTCAACCTGTTGTTCTCAAATTGTTCCTTACTCAAAGCTTTGGTGAATATATCAGCAATTTGATCTTCAGTCCTACAAAACTTCACACAGATGGTTCCTTTTTCAACATTATCTATCAGAAAGTGGTGTCTCACATCAATGTGCTTAGTCCTTTTATGCTGAACTAGATTCTTGGCCATATAGAGAGCACGTGTGTTATCACACAGGAGAGGGATAGTGTGAGTAAGCACTACAAAATCTTCAAGTTATTTTATCCATAGAAATTGAGCACAACAAGATGCAACTGCTACATATTATGTTTTAGCTGTAGAAAAAGCCATTCAATTTGCTTTTTGGTTCCCCAGGAGATAAGAGAAGAGCCCAAGAAGTGAGCCATTCCTAAGGTTCTCTTTCTATCAACTTGATACCCTGCATAATATGCATCTGCATATCCTACCAGTTCAAAAGAATCTTCTAAAGGATAGAGCAGGACCAGGTCCTCTGTTTTCTTTAGATACCTTAAGATCCACTTGGCAGCTTTCAAGTGAGACTCCTTAGGACATGCTTGGAACCTTGCACACATACCCACACTGAACATAATATCATATCTTCTTGTTGTCAGGTACATCAATGAACCAATGATGCCTATATACATAGTTTCATGCACCATAGGACCAGAGTCATCAGCATCCAACTTTGAGTTTGTTCCCATGGGAGTAACAATAGGCTTTGCATCCAGCATCGGAAATTTCTCCAAGAACTCCTTGATATACTTTTCTTGACAAATAGAGGTACCATTTGAAGCTTGTTTGACTTGCAGACCTAAGAAGAAACTCAATTCTCCCATCATGCTCATTTCAAATTCACTTCCCATCAATGAAGCAAATTCTTCACACATTACTTCAGAAGTTTCCCCAAAAATGATATCATCAACATATATATACCGGAATAATAAGCAATTCTTTACCTCTTGTTTTCAAGAAAAGAGTATTATCAATTTTACCTCGTTTAAACCCATTTTTGAGAAGAAACTTGGATAGTCTCTCATACCAAGCTCTGGGAGCTTGTTTCAAGCCATAAAAGGGCCTTATCCAACTTGAGCACATGATTTGGGTAGTCAATATCTTCAAAAATCCAGGGGCTATTTCACATAAACCTCTTGTTTGATATGACCATTTAGGAATGAACTTTTCACATCCATTTGAAACAGTTTAAACTCCATGAAGGCTACAAAGGCAATGCTAATTCTGATAGCCTCGATCCTTGCCACAGGGGCAAAGGTTTCATCATAGTCAATGCCTTCTTCTTGGTTATATACCTGCACCACCAGTATTGATTTATTCCTTGTAATAGTGCCATGCTCATCCAGCTTGTTTCTGAACACCCATCTGGTCCCTATAATAGTTCTATCAGAGGCCTAGGAACCAGGTGCCATACTTTACTCCGTTCAAATCAGTGAAGTTCATCTTGCATTGAGTTCACCTAATCAACATCTTTTAAGGCCTCCTTGATATTCTTTGGCTCAATATTCGATATGAAAGCTGAGAATGTAAATTTCTAGTTTTGACCTAGTTTGCATTCCAGAGTTCAAATGAGAAATGAGATTATCAAGAGAATAAGAAGACTTGTGCTTCCACCTTGACTTAAAAGTCAAGGGTTGAGGTTGATCAGCTTCCTCTTCTTCATTCACATAATTATCATTTTCAGATTGAACTATATCCCTTGGCTCAACATTATCAAGCAGACCAAGTCCCTCTTCAGGTTCAGCATCTTCAATGACTTCTTCAAGTTGATCTGGTTCAACAACAATTGGATCTTGAGATCTTTCAGCTTGAAACTCATTCAGACTATCTCTCTGAATCTGAAGAAGTTCTTCTATCTCATCACCATCATTGTTCTCAAGATCTTTAATACCACCAGTCTCGTCAAAGATCACATGAACACTTTCTTCAATGCATAAAGTCCTCTTATTGTAGACTCTATAAGCTTTACTTGAATAACAGTATCCCACAAACACTCCTTCATCACTTCTAGGATCAAATTTACCCAAATCATCCTTTTCATTGTTTAGTACAAAACATTTTCATCCCAAAACCCTCAAATAACTCAATTTAGGCTTTTTGTTGTATAAGAGCTCATAAGGAGTTTTGTTCAGAATGGACCTGATCAAGCACCTGTTGGTCACATAACAAGCAGTGTTGACTGCCTCAGCCCAAAGGTTCTTCAGAAGACTTGAATTAATAAGCATGGTTCTGGCAATGTCGACCATAGTTCTATTCTTTCTTTCCACCACACCATTTTGTTGAGGTGTTCTTGGAGCTAAAAGTTGTGATGAATGCCATTTGCAGCACAAAAATTGTCAAACTTGGCATTTTCAAACTCGGTTCCATGATCAGACCTGATCCCTGCGATCTTGCAATTTAACTTTGTTTGAATCATTTTAGAAAATACCATCAGTATATCAAACGTTTCATCTTTGGACCTTAGAAACATTGTCCAAGTGAACCTTGAATAATCATCCACAATTACCGGTATATACCACTTTCCATCTCTACGTTGAATCTTCAGAGGGCCATACAGATCCATGTGAATTAGCTCAAGAGGTCATGATGTACTCACTTGTTTCTTGGATTTGAAAGATGATCTGACCTACTTCGCTTTGACGCATGCATCACACACTTTATCATCACTGAACTTTAGCTTTGGTAATCAACGAACCAGGTCCCTAGACACCAGTTTGTTTAGCAGAAAGGAGCTCACATGACCAAGTCTTATGTGCCACAAGTTAGCTTTTTCACTTTGGGCACTAAGATAGGTTAGATCATCTCCTTGATCAGTATCCAAATCAGCAACATACATGTTCTTGCACTTTCTAGCAGTTAAGATCACCTCCCTAGAAATCAAATTTGTAACAATGCACCTTTCTGACAGGAACCTAACTTCATTTCCTTTGTCACATATTTGTGAGACACTAAGAAGACTGTATTTCAACCCATTTACATAATATACATTCTCAATAGAATGTTCAAACAGATTTTCCAATTCTTCCAACTCCCAGAATATATATTTTCTTTCAATTGCCAAAAGTGGCACCTCCACCTTGAAGTGCCTTGAGTGAGAGGAAGTTCTCAATCTTTCCAGACATGTGCTTCAAACATCCACTATCCATGAACCAACACTGGTTGCTACTTCCTCCACTCCCCTACAACATGGATTACTTGTTAGATTTGGGAACCCATTTTAGTCTGAGTCCCCAGTAAATAGATAAAGGCATAATAAGAAACTTTTTTTGCCCAGTATGGTAAGATGGGCTTTCTCTTGTGATGAGAAGAGCTAGAACTAGGACCAAGTCCCTTGTTCTGTATGATTTTCCATTTGGAGTAGTTTGAGAGGCTTTCTTGGGTTCTCTTCCAAGCTAGACACTCCTTTTTTAGATGACTATTGCGCCCATATTGAAGGCAAAACAGATTGTCAGACACTGACACATACTTGCTATGAGGATTATAGAGAGGGCTTATGTTCACACTTCCTAAACCTTTCCCATCATTTTGACCCTGACTAGTACAATTTGCAAGCAATTTCGAGGAAGTGGTCCATTTAAGAGCTTTTTTCATTTCTTCTTTGAGACGGACCAGGCCCCTTTCTAACTGATCATTTCTTTCCAAGGCCATAGCCAATTTCATTTCAAAGGTGTTCAAGTTGTAGGCTACTAGCTTCACTCTTTCCTTTAAAACAATTATCCCTTAATTTCTCCCCAAGTTCTAGATTTTCAGATTCCAGAACCATCATTCGTTCTTCCATTGCAGACATTTGAGAAACCAATGCCATTTATTCATCATGAAAGATATCCAGACTATTATTCATGACATCTTTTTTAGTATTCAACTCAGTGATTGAGTCGATCAACATAACAACTAGATTTCTCAATCATTTAACTGAGTAAACATGCAAGTTCTGTTTAAGGTCAGAAAGAGTTACCTTTTCTTCATCATCAGATTTTTCCATGAAGGCAAACATTTCATCATAGGGATCCTCATCATCTTTAACTGCGAGCATGGAGGCATCTTCAAGATGTTCCGTCTCCTCTGAATCACTTGAAGAATCTCCCCAGATAGCTAGAGCCTTCTTCACAACATAGTCAGCAACAACCTTTCTTCCTATCTTATCAGGGATCGGGGTCCCTTCTCTTGTATTTGTCTCATCCAACCTTTGCAAAGTATTTATGTTCAACCTTTTGCATAGGACAATCTCTGACGAAATGCCCTAATTTTCCACACTGGTGACATTAGGTCATTTGCATTGGCAGCTCTACTGGAGTTTCTTGCCTTCCAAAAACCTCCATGTTTCCTCACTATTTTTTGAAATCTCCTAGTGAGGGGTACACCATGTCTTCATCTTCTTCAGAAGTTTCACCTAATGTCACTTTGAGAGCTAGTGACATGTCCCTCTTCACCTCCTTTTTTGACGCTTCTTGATTCATGTTCATCGAATGTGTTTGAAGGTTTCCAATCAGGGAATTCATGGTCAGGACCTTCAGGTCTTTAGCTTCAGTAATAACATCGACCTTACTAGCCCATAACTTGGGAAGGATTCGAAGTATCTTCCTGACTTGTTTGCTTGGATGAATAGGTTCTCCCAAGTAACGTAACTCATTAGTGATAGAAGAGAATCTGGTGTGCATGTCATGAATGGGTTCTCCCTCCTTCATAGTGAAGTTTCTCATACTGAGTAGTCAGCATGTCTACATTTGAATCATTCACTTTTTGTGTGCCTTAATGATCTTTTTTAAGGCAGTCCCAAATCTCCTTGGGTGACTCACAAGCAGAGATTTGATTGTACTCCTTAGCATCGATTCCATGTACCAATAACTTTTTAGCCTTATAGTTCTTCTCGATCTTTTTCCTATCGGCCTCATTGTATTGTTGTCGGGTTTTGGGAATCACTCTTGTGATTTCTTTTTCCTTTACCTCAATAGTTGGAACATATGGACCGTCGAGCACTAAATCCCACAGCTCGCTGTCTTCAGCCATCAAGAAGTCATGCATTCCTGTCTTCCACCAGCTATAGAACTGGCCATTGAACCTTGGGGGCCTTGTTGATGACTGTCCTTCTTCCAGGTTTCGTGGAACAGTCATTCTTCCACATGATTCTCTCTAGGTGTTAACCAGTTAGAGAGCCTAGGCTCTGATACCAATTGATAGAATGTATGCATCCACTATTCGTCAAGGACCAGGTCTCTTGACACATCAAGAACAATAATAAAAATGCAAACGATAAACTGAAAGACACAAGAAGTTTACGTGGAAACCCCTTGCTCAAGGGCGGTAAATATCACGACCTGTACTCACAAGATTTCAACCCAACTCCATTTCACTCAAAATGGAGCAATGTTCAGATTACAAACTCTTGTATATAGGAATTTAACTCTAAATCTCGTCCCCCTCAATGTAGTAACTCTACTACAAAGAGAGCTAAGCAATAACTCTATTGCCCACTAAAACAACTATCTCTAGTTGATTTAGACTTCAACAACTCAAATAGCTAACTCTAGTTATCACTCCAAACGATACTCACTAAGAACAATCACTGATCCACTTCCTTTATAACTCAGGAAAAGATCTACAATGTGAAACACTGAAATATAAACGTAAGAAAAATTAGGAACGAAGATAACTCTATCAGGTCCCTTGTTATTCCGCCGGAAGATATTTCAAATGTGTGGTCTTTGCAATATTCTTCAATCCTTTTTGAGAGTGAAAAAACTAAGGTTGTGTCTAATGAAGTTGGCCTTATATGTGATGGGAACGAAAACCCAAAAGCAAGGTCAGCAATACCATTGGCCAATGGCTCTGCTGCACAGCGCAGACGCGCACTGCACTCCTGCAAGACTGTTGTTGGCAGTGTACTATTTCCAACTGTCATTTTCACCAGTAGGAGAATGGTTCACACAATGGGAATCAGGTACCCTTACCAGATCCCTTTGTTTTCCGAATCATCAAAACTAAAATATAATAGGTTCTCATGGAGCCTAACGCTTCTAGGCAGCTTTATCGTGCGTTCTTGCTATCACAGTCGACTCATATCGAGCAACACTCAACTCTCGCTTATGCTTGGATTTGGAAGCTGCCATTACCTCCAAAAATCAGGCATTTTCTTTGGTTATTACATCAGGGTTGACTGCCAACCTCATGCTACCTTCACCACATCTCTTGTATCCCCTCTCCAATTTGCCAGCTTTGTAATTCGGGCAATGTCAAATCAATAACACACCTTTTTCGTACATGCTCTAAAATAGCATCTTTATGGGAAGAAGTGGGCATTATGCCTCAGATTCTGTCTTTAGCTGATCCTCACAGATATCCTTTCTCTTGGCTGGAATCTTTCTTATCCTCAGATAAGAATTACATTGGCATGACCCAAGATCACTTTGTAATAATTTAAAATTTATAAAATGATTCGGTTTATATTAAATTCAAGAATATATTAGTCCAAATAAATTATGAAGTAATATAATTGGGTTAATTATTTAAGTCCAATAAATATAGATTTAATTAAAATTCAATATTTTCCTTTTACTATATATTTTTAGATTTCTTAATTATTAATTTTACCTAATATCTCTTGCTATGTATTTTTCTTGTACCATATATTTCATGTCTATCTAATTTTAAATATTATTAAAAAAAAAATTGAGGAGGGAAATAGTAAAAGTCAATTTTATCTACTGTATTACGTGTTTTGCACATATGTATCACGTTAATTAATAAGAAATATATATGTAAAACATGGTTTGTGTATAATATATTATTAAGTACAAAACTTTTCAAAATAGCATAAACTTTCTTAAGAATATATTTTTACCCCAATTATATATGGTTGAATGAAGGTATCAATAGGGTTGAGTGAGAAGCATTCTAGGCTCCTATTTTTAATAGTAAAATCATGTTTCTTGGTGACCCAAAAAATAATTTAATATTAGAAAAATCACACTTTTCCAAATATGTGATATATATTTATTATACACAATTATAATTTAAATAAATTACGTTTGTAGCTATAGTTAGAGTTTCGTAGGAAATTCCTCTCTTTCCTCCCTCTCTCCCTCGCTTCTTTCCTCTTTCCTCTCTCCTCTCTCTTTGTCCATTCTCGCTCTCTTTGTGCTATATCACTTTATATTGTAGTACATTTAGTGACATATTTATTGAAAAAAAAATTATAATGATAATCACATACCAATGTTATTACATATAATATATATATTCACAAGTTAAAGCAAAGGATGCACAAAAGTGACATTTTGTTCAAGACTCTTCATATAACACCTAAAAGTATAAAAACAATTTTTTATTTGCATGATAAATATATTAAATTACGTAAGAGTTATCTTGTCTAAATTAAAACTTTGTGATTGAAAAAAATTGACACTCTTACATCCAAGAAAATAAGCATAATTAAAAACTAAATAAAACTATAAATGATGAAGGAGAAAAGAAACACACAAATAAACAAATAAAAGGACAATGAAAAATTAAAAAAAGAAAGACACGTGTTATTGATATACCTAATATTAAGTGATTTTATAGATGTTTTTTATAAAATAAATAGATTATTTAATAACATGAGTAATATTAATCAATTGATTAAAGGAATCCTAATTCTAAAGTGATTGTTAAAGCTAAATTAGCAAAATCCATATTAAAAAGGAAGAAGTTAAATGGTAGTTTATTTTAGGTTTAATTTTTTTGACTTTTTCATTATAAAGTTAATGTATAATTATTTGGACCTTTTAAAAACTATTTTTGGCCTATTTTTCGGGTCCTCCTTTGCCTATTTTTTTGTTCTTTTTTTTAAACCTTTTTGGGACGTTTTATATTTATTTTTTTTACTATTATTTGAAAGTTTTTTTACTATATTTTTGTTTGAATCAAATCTATTTTAGTTGGTAAAAGATTTTTCATGTAGGAATTTAATCATAATTAGAAAATCTTCTCAATTTAATTTCTATTGTATTTATTATAGTCAAAATTTAATATAATCAAAATAATGGTATAATAATTAAAAGAAAATGACGAAAAGACGATTTTGTCTAAGTCAAGTCTTTTAATGAAGGGCACAAAGTTCAATCATATTATTAAGAATCTTCATGCTTTTAATATAGTATAGATTAGTTGTCGTTATTGAAAGGATGCAAATATATTAAATGAGCAAAAGGGTTGTTAAGGCAAAGTTATTAAATATCCACCATTTATTCGTAATACTAGTTATAAAAATCTCGTGGCGTCCACGGGTCCAATGTTTATTCACAAATTTATTTTTTAAAGGGTATTGATTAAAGGGAAAATTTTCAAAATAGCAATATTTTAGCTTCTAATGGAACCCCTTAGCCATAGTTTCACTATTTATTTAAAATGTCAATATTTTAGGTTGTTAAGGGCTGAGTAATGTATTTTTTTTTTTATTTTGATTAATTTGAAAGAATACAATTACTTAATAACAAAAAGGAGAAGATCATGGGAGAGAATATTTTTAAAAAGGTAAAATCATTGAAATTCCTCTCATCAGTTACATTCAAAGGAAAAAAGGAGGTAGTGCTCCTCTCGCCCTTGTTTCTCGAATTTCCAACTCTCTCTTGTTCATTAAATTTTCAAAAATATCGATTTTTAACCCTCCATTGATAATACACAATCTATATCAAAGTTAATTCGATTGATTTTGCGATTTTTTTTTTCAAAGGGAACAAAATTTTGAAATAATTGATTAGGAATTCGTTGACAAACAATCAACAGGACACGGAATTTCCAACTTGATCTTCCACATAATTGGTGAAATATAAAATTCATTAGGTATTTGTTAACTGTTGAATCGTAAATTAGTTTGAAAGTATTCCGAAAATGGCTATTAAGAGTTTTGACATGAATACATCTTTATTTTCTTAGATATTTGTTTTTTGGGGGGATAAAAGCAATGAAATATTTGTATGTATTTAAAATCGTTAGTATGTTTGCTTGTTTGTAATCAATGTAGTAATTTACTTGGTATGATTGTAGAGAGATATTGAGTACATTGTGAGGATAGAAATACAAATTTTTTGATGGCATACAGTTAGAATGAATGCAAATAAAGAAGAAATACAAATAAAATTATGTTGTATTCTAGATAATCAACTAGAAGACATATTATGAATTACTAACTTTGTATCCACTGCCGAGGTTGAATACAATTTGATGACAAAAATACAAAAATAGTAGGCATACATTTAGAGTAAATAAAAAATAAGAAGCAATATAACAAAAATATGTTGTATTCTACATCATCCCCACAAAATAATATTATGTACTACAAAAGTTGTATCTAAACAAAAATTATGTTGTATTCCACACAATCAACTGCAAAGATACTATTATGAACTACTAACTTTGTATCCACTTCCGAGGATGAATACAATTTGATGACATATATACAAAATTAATAGGCATACAAATGGAAGAAATACACAAATATGTTGTATCCAACAAAATCCCAACAAAATGATATTATGAACTACAGAAGTTGTATCCAATTCATAGTACGAAAACAAAATGAAGATAAGATTATAAAATTTGATGGCATACAGTTAGAATGAATACAAAATTTATGTATAAAACCAACGAAAAACTGTGATCAATACACTTTAGTTTAGTTATGAGTTGTATCCAAACATAAGTAATTTTTTTCACAAAAGGAAATACTTATTATATTTTTAGATTATATAAATTTGAAAGGGAACAAGGGAATACATATGCACGTAAAGACGAAGAGCCTATCGTTTCCTTTTATTTTCATTGTATGTGTCCTTGCTCTTGATGATGTTTATATTCTGTAATTGAGGAAGGTTTTGCATACGGAAAAGGTCATGTAGATGCTTAGATCTGCTTTCTTCCAGCTTTCTAGCCGTTGATCCTACATTATCGACTTGTCCTTGAGTGATACAAAGATCAAAAGACAAAAAAATCGCTAAAAAGTCTATCATTACATGATATACTTCTTGGAGTCCTCTTTGAGTTCGTCATTAGAGAGGAGTTTTGAGTTTTTCCATATCAAAAACTCTAATCGAAAATAAAGAATTTACTAAGCAATTATACAAACAAATATATTGAAAGGTTTAAACAGATGCAAATCAGTAAAATACATAAAAATCGAAAAAAGATACATACCTAAAATTAATGAGATTGTTGTGAATATTTTTTGGGAGATTTTTATCAATTTCTAAAAATAATCGAAAAAACGTCACATATAAAGAGAGAAACGGGGGAATGAAAATTGAAGAACAATAGAAGAAGGGAATTGGATGAGTGAGAACATTTTTTGTTTTGAGATAATTATAAATTGGAGAGAGAACGTTTGTTTGGCTGAAAGGTATTGCTGCAATATTTTTGCAAGATGTGGGCCTTAAAGGAAAATAAGGAATTAGAATTGGATACATTTAATTTGCTATAAAACTAAAATATTGACTTTTTAATAATTATTTTAAAGTGTAGTTGTTTTAAATAAAATGTTAGGGATTTTGACTAGTTAGCTAATTTTTCCTTGATTAAATGACATGAAATCGTCTCATTAAGTGTAAAATACTTGATAAATATTACTAATATTTATAAATTTTAGGTGGTATTGATGAAATGGTTTTAAAAATTTTACTATGAAATAATTTGAAATATATATTAATTGTGCGGTAGACTAGTAGTACATCATCTCATTTGTTTTGCGCGTAGAGGTCCATGATTAAAATATTTTTCATCATCACTCATTGATTTTTTATTTTACTGAAATTCAAAATAATAAACCTATAGCTAAACATAGCTAAAGCGGATCCATAATTTTGAATAAATTGAACACTATTAAATTAAAGTAGAATAAAAAAAATATTTTTTTTAGTTTTTTTCGAAAACGTCCTTGCTGAAGCAGACACATTGACGGAGATGTGTTGTCTTCAACTTGAAACTCTCTCTTATATATAATACTAGTTACGAAGATCCCGTGTTGTGTACGAATCCAATATTTGTTTACAAATTTATTTTTAAGCATATTAATTAAACGATATTAAATCATCTCATTATGTGTAAAATAAAACTTGATAAATATTATTAATATTTATTAATTTTAAGCGGTATTGCTTAAATGATTTTAAATTTTTACTCTAAAATAAACAGAAAAAGCCAAAAGAACCCCTGAACTATAGGAAAAGGTCTAAAAATACTCTTCATCCCTCCTTTGGTCTAAAAGTAACTTTCTACTCATCTTTTTTGTCTAGATATACACCTCTATTCACCTTTTTGACTCGTTAACATTTGTGTTACGAGTCTAAAACCACTTATTTTGAAAAAAATGAGGTGTTTGACCAATTAATAAAACTGCTAATAAATGGAAGTAAAAGCAATTTTTCTGCTGTTGGGAAGAAACTAAAAATTTCTGCTTTTAATAAAAAAATCAGAAGCAGGAGTAGAAAATTATTTATTTCAAGACCAAGATATCCCTACCATAATATACATATTATCAATATATCTCTTATATTTTATTTATTATTGTGATGTGTTTTTTTTTATTTGTATGTAGTGATTTCATTGATGAAATGATTTTTAAATTTATTTTGCTTGATATTTTAATTATATTTAAATCATCATGTTAATGTTATATCAAATATTTAATTTATTTTTTATTCATCTATGTATAATATTGATTGACAATTTGAATATGTACTTTTAATTTAATAATTAGAATTTTAATTATAATTTTATAGAGATATATAAAATAATCTTAATATTAGAAGTGCATTGATACTTGTCATTTTTCGTAATTTGACTCTCATAAATATTTTTTTTATAAAAAAATTAGTCAAACACAATACGCTTATTAAAAACACTTTTCAAATGAATTAACTAAACACAAATTGTTTTTTCTTAAATACAGTTTTTCTGAAAATGCTATCAATGTCAAACATTTATTATGTGTCATTCTCTTATTGGATGAAATAAATGTTGGGATATATACTATTAACCATATGTTAAGATATAATATTTATTATAGAATAAATATTTATTCAGTTTTAATAGATCATATATTCGTTTATGGTGTATGTTTACTTATATAGTAGATGATTTAGTGTGTAAGGTTTTAACTTATACACAGAGGATTAAATCACCAGTTCTTATAAGTATAAAGTTTTTTTGTTCACAATCTAGGATGGAAATTGGACATGACATCGGTACGATAGTAGCACAAGATTATATGTATTTTATCTTGATTATGAGAATGGTATAGTTCCAACTTCTTGTGCTAGTGCATTTTGTATTTATTGAACAGGACCAAGTAGAGATAGTTGATTTAGACTGACTGAAAAAAGCAATTCTCTAAATTATTAAATGTACATATATTCTTAATCCTGATATAACTATTATGATCTGTATATATTAATTATCGTTTTGATTTATGAAAATGTGAGATTCTGAGATGGGTCAATATGCCTG